TTCCTCCTTAAAGGTCTTGCACATTTCCTGGTTAGATTTAATCCTAGGAACTTATTATTCTTTTTTTTTTTTTCCTTTTTGTCTTTTTTCGCGACCGGCAACGGATCGCAACCCTCAGTGTCGCGCCCGCACCGACCCGGGACCGGCAATGGGATCGCAACCCTCGGTGTTGCTCCCTGCACCTCGCTCAGCCAGTGAGCGGCCGGTCTGTATGTGGGATCCGAACCCTCGGCGGGAGCGCCGCCACGCTTCCCAAGCGGCGCACTGTAGCAGTGCGCCACCGGGCCGGCCCCGGAACTTATTATTCTGATTGCTATTGTAAGTAAAAATTTTTTTAAAGTTATGTTTTCAGTATCACATCTTTGAAATTATGCTTTTTTAAAGTTATGTTTTCAGTATCACATCTTTGAAATTATGTTTTAAAGTTATGTTTTAAGTATCTTGAAGATACTGAAAAACTCACTTTTGAGTTTTTGAAATGAGATGCATTTTCCCAAGTATTTGTTTCCTTTGTTCTTTTCCTAGCTCCTCCCATGCATTGGAAAAGTTTGAGAGTTATATACAATTTTCACATGCATATTTGACTTTAAGTTGCATGTTAATTAACATTACTATCTTCTTCCCAAATAACACAGGATCTTATATGAATTTAATCTACTTCCCATATGTTTTGTTCCATATTTTAGTTGTATTCTTTTTTAAAAAATTAATCATTATTATTGTTTTATACAGTGAGTATTTATGTTTTAAACTTTCTTATTGCAAAATGCCACACACATAGAAAAGTTCACAAAATGTCAATGTATGTGTCAATAAATTGTCATAAAATGAACATCCATGTAACCACAACGAAAAACAATATTGTCGGCATCCTGGGAGCACCTCCTCACAACCCTTCCTGAGCACTCCTCCCCAACCTTTCCCATTGGTAATCATAATCTGATTTTTATGGTAATTATTTCTTACTTTCCTTTATAATTTTGCCACCTAAGCATGAATCATTAAACACTCTACTTTAGTTGAGCTTCATATAAATGGAACTATACAGTATGTATTATTTTTCACCTGGTTTCTTTTGCTCAACATTTGTGAGATTTGCAACTGTGTATAGCTGTAGTCGGTTTTCATTACTGTCTAGTACTCCAGCATATATTTATATTACAATTTATCCATTTACTGGATATAAAATTCTAAGTTGATAGTTATTTTCTTTCAGTCCATTTAAAATGGATTCCATCACTTCTGTGGAGAAGACAGCTGCTAGTTACTTGTTTTGGAAGGTAATTCTTTCTTCTGTAGCTGCTTTAAAGATTTTTCTCTTGTTTTTAGTTTTCAGTAGTTCAACAATGATGTCCATAGATACAGACTTGGTATTTCTCCTACTTGAGGTTCATATCACTTCAGAAATTTACAGACTAATGTTCTTCATCAACTTTAGGAAATTGTAAACCATTTTCTCTTCAAATACTGCTTTGGGCCCTCTTTCTCCTGCCTTTCTGGAACTTTAAATACATGCACTAGACCTTCTCATGGTATTTTCTCTCTTTCTTACTCTAATTTCTTTCATCCTTTGTCTCTGATTATTTTTATCTTATATCTTTCAGTTCACTAATTCTCTCTTCAGATGTGTTTAATCTGCTGTTTAAACACATTTATTCAAGTTAATTTCAGTTACTGATTTTCTCATTTCCAGAATTTCCATTTGTTGTTATTGTTGTGTATGTTTTTTTTAACAGCTTCCAGTGCTTTGCCAAAATTCTCAGTCTTTTATCTCTTTGAACATGATAAGTACAGTTATTTTTAAAGTCTATATCTGAGAATTCCAATATCCAAAGGCCCTGTTTCTATCATCTTTTGTTTCCCTTTGTTCATGTTGTTTGCATCTTTGTGTATCCAGTTGCTTTTGATTATAAGCCAGAAATTGCATTTGCAAACTGTAGAAATAATTTGTGACCTTACATATTACCTTCCTCCAGGAAGGATTTATAATTCTGCCAGATGCCTGGGGGCACCAGCAATTTAGGAACCTTCAACATAATTTTGGGGACTGACTTAATTCAAAGCTGATCTGTAGCCTTTGTAAGAATATGTCTACTCCTTTTAACCCTTGCTCCTATGGTGTAGCAATTCAGGGTTGTGACTCTAAATGAGGAGTGTTCATCAGGTATACCCTCTTAGTGGGCCATGGGCTCTAATCTCTGCCCTCTTTACTTCTCACTAGCCTGTTGAAAGGACTGCTTAGCTTTCTGGTAGCTCCCTCCAGAACTGATGAATAGCTTCAAAGGAACAGTGGCCCCATACACCAGGACCTTTTTTCTGGGTCTGCATTCTTTCACTAGACATTGTAAGCTCTTTGATGCCTTCAAGCAAAACACTTAAAAATATTTTGTTCTGCTTTTAGGGTGGTCTTCAGTGGAAGACACAATTCAAATGGACTTATCTGCCACTACCACCAAGTAGAACTCCCAGATTTTATCTACATTTTCACGAATTTCTTTGCTCATCATTCTTTCTTGGATCCACTGTTTCCTCTGAGTTCAATTTCCTTCAGTCTCAAGTACACACTGCTTCACAATCTTCCAGCAAGCTTCTGTAACTAGTTATTTCTATTATCCTTTGCCTGAAAATGTCTTCATTGCAACCTCATTTCTGAATGAGAAGCTGGCATAAAATTTTAAGTTGACAGTTATTTTCACTTAGCTCTGTGAAGATATTATTCCACTGTTTTCTGGTCTCTCTCGTTGAAAAGTTTTCTGTCAACATAATGGATAGCCCGTTGTGAGTCATCTTCATGTTTTTGTTGATATTAAGATGTTCTCTTTTTTCCTTTGGCATTCTCCAGCTTCACTATACTGGGTCTAAAAATAATTTTTATTTATCCTATTTGGGCTCATAGTGCTACTTGAATCTGAGTATGTATATCTTTTATCAATTCTAGAAAGTTCTCAGCCATTATTTCTGTGAATATTGCCTCTACACTATTCTTTCTATTTGGACTTCTTATTTTAAGTCTGTTATCTCAACTTTCATATTTTCCATCCCTTTCTGTTGTGCTATATTCCAGGTGATTTCTTTAGATCTATTCTTCTGTTTACTTCTTCTCTCTTCAGCTGAAACTTACTGCCTTATGTTTAACCTAGTTGCTGAGTTTTAGATTCTGATGACTACATTTTCCAATTCTTGAAGCTATTTTAGCTTCCCCTGTGAGAATCTCTGTGGCATAGGTGTTTGGAATACTCCTTGGGTTTTGCTTTTATCTGATGATTTATGGCATCACTAGCCCAAGACTAATTCTTTAATTATTTTCTCAGTTTTGGGGGCCCAGACCACAAGGGTAGTATATATATTTATTCAAATCCTAAACTAGCATGAGCAAGGATCCACAGTTTTTTTTTTTTAGAATTCTCCAGGGGAGATTCCTCAGCTTCCACTCCAGAACCCAGGCAGAGTTAAATGTTTTTATTATTTCTCTGTGCTGGTAGGCATATATTTTCTAGTCCACTCTTCTCACTGAGGACACGACCCCTTTGAAGGTTCCAGTTCCTAGTCCACACCTTAAGTGGGTTCAATTTCTGCTCCCTAGGAGGTATTGAAACCAAACCAATACTTTACCAAACCAAAGCTACAGCTCATATTTTTACCACTGTAATTTCGGAGTTTTCTTTTCAATGCTGGAGATTTACTTTCTTTTTCCTCAAAGCTCAATTACGCATTTAAAATAATTTTCATTTTATTTTACCTGGCATTTGAAGGTATTAGTAGAAGGAAGGTTTTCAGATTATCTAGTCTACTATATTACCAGAACTAGAAACCCCATGGCATTGTTCTTAAACTTTCTGTCAATTAAATAAATATGTTAATATTAGTGTATTAGGGTTTTCCAGAGAGACAGAATCAATAGGGAATGTATGTATGTATATATATATAATTTTTCCATTTTGATAAATCTCTTTATATATGTATGTATATACACACACACATCAGCCTCCATAATCACATTAGCCAATTCCTTATATCTCGTTATCTCTCTCTCTCTATGTATGTATGTGTGTTTGTGTATAAAATATGGAGAGAGAGAGAGAGAGAGAGACAAATCCCAAGATCTGTAGTCGGCGATCTGGAGTTCAAGGAGAGCTGACAGTGTAGTTTCAGATTGAAGGCCTACAGACTCAAGACCCAGGAAACCTGTTGTTTTAGTATGAGTCCAAAGGCATGAAAAAAACCAATGTTCCAGCTCAAGGCAGACAGGTGAGAGGAAATTTCCTCTTACTTGCATGATGGTTGGCCATTTTGCTCTATTCAGGTCTTAAACTAACTGGATGGGGCATGCCCACATTAGGGAGGGGAATCTACTTTACCTACTCTACCAATTCAAATGTTAATTTCATCCAGATATATCCTCACAGACGCACCCAGAATGAAAAAATGTCTGGACACCCTGTGGCCCAGTCAAGTTGACAAATAAAATTAGCCATTACAATTAGTAAACTCTGGTTTGATTTTTAAATAAATTAATTTTTTTCTAAGACCCAAATCAAGCTGTCCTTTGAGCTCTGACAACTCAATTCTGTCATGCTACAACTGAGCTGACTTAGTGTTAAGTAAGCTACCTTTCTGCACATGGACCTTACATATATGTAATTCTATAAGTCTGTTTTTGAATTTAATTTCCCCCTTTTCCAAAAGATAAACAAGTTCAAGTCTCTGGAAGTCATGTAGAATAAAAGTGTCACCTGAAAATATATTTATGATCTGTTTTTTTAAAAACCTTTGGCTTTTACCTTTGTACTATAAACATGTGGGTAATGACAACTGCTCACATCATGAAAATCCCACATATTCCTGGTGCAGTGCCACACAAAAACTAGATACTAAGTAAATTTTACCTGCAAGTTATTTCAAAATATTGATCACAGTAACAAGTTTGCCTCCAAAACTCTGGGTTTCATTAATCATAAAAGTGACAATAAACTACTAAATTTTACTTATATTCACATTACCCTCCTTTGCTCCTCTTCAGCATCAGCAAAGAGTTTACGAATGTTCGCCTCTGATTCTCCCACATATTTGTTAAGGATTTCTGGCCCATTGACCACTTTGGGCTCTCTTGCATTCAACATCTTGCCGATCTGTCGAGCCAAGAGAGTCTTACCACAACCTGGGGGTCCATACAACAGGATGCCTTTAACATGTTTACAACCTGAAAAGAAAAAGAAAACAGTCTTATCAACTAACTAAAAATCCAAGCAAGACATCTAAGTGTTTCCATAGTTTGTCCTTATTTGAAATGAAAGCCTTAGAAAGTATATCTTTATGAAAAAGTACAATACATTTGACAACTCACATAAAATAAATCACAAGATACAACCAACTCTACTAGAAACTTTAGATTCTGAGGAGGTAAACCCTTTGGGTTACCAGTATCATCCCTACTTCTATCTTTATGTCAAGAAAAAAAACTGGCTTTTAAATCCTTAAAAGTAATGAGATCTGTGCTTATGTTTAAGCTTCTAGGGAGGAGAACTTAGTGGAAACCTTGAAGGCTTAGAATGAAAACCTTTCTCATCACAGTTGGTTAGAACACAGCCTTGTAACATCAAGGTCAAGGGTTCAGACTCCCATACTGACCAGCCGCAAAATAAATAAATAAAATAAAATGCAATTATTCGTTTATATACCTTCTTCTCTATTAGACTGTAAACTCTTCAAGGACAAGTACTGCCTCATTAATCCTCAATTGCAAACACCCACCATAATGCCTAGCACATAAGATGTACTCAAAAAAAAGGCTGAATAACTAAATTGTCAAGTCTTTTCCTACGAAGCTCAAAAATATGAAAAAGAGAAGATCATTTAAAAAAATTATTTGACACTCTTAATTTATGGAACAGCACTTACTTTTATGGCTGAACTAATTTAAATACCTAAAAATCACATTTCCAATGACAGACTCTCCAAATTTTGCAAAGCAAACTGTATAATATATAAATACTAGAATCATAACTTTGTAACTATTTTTGTATATGAAAAATGCTCAGTATAATGTTTTGAATTAAATTGACTCAGATCTTATCAAATAAACAATTCACAAAATATTAAAATATAAAGGTTAAGAGAAAAAGATAAAATGCACATCCATGGAACTTATTATATATAATATATATCTCTGAAAAGACAGAATTTATTCAATATAACATTAATAGGAATGTCATAGAAGCTTTAGTCTGCCTCAGAACTATAATTCTTTTAGGATCTCAAAAATATACATTGACATATGAGTATTTTCAAAATCCATTTCCACAAAGGAAGCAGTACTTGAATAAGCAGTGGAAATGAGACTTTGTTATTACTATTATTATTATAGCCTATTCTGACTTATTAAATAAGCATTGGTCTCTAATTTTAAGTGAGTCATAAAAACTCTTTATAACTAATTCCATTCAACAAAAATGTATTAAGATCCTGTTTAGACTAGGCACTAAAGTAGGTGTTAGGGATACAAACATGAAAAAAGACAGTCCCTACCTGCAGGGCATTCCTGGTTTAGTAGGAAAGACAGAAATAAAATGTGTTATCTACAATATAATATGACATTATCAGTGATATGTATAAAATGTTTTTGGAATCTAGCCAAGAGAGACAAATTCTGCCACGGTGATGTCAGAAGATTAGGGATGGACACTGGGGAAGAGGTAACATTCAGTCTGGACCTGGAAGGATGAGCAGCAGGTTCATGGCTGGGCAATGGAGAGGAAATGGCACCTTAAAGAGAGAATAGCCTGGGCCGGCCCGGTGGCGCACTGCTACAGTGCGCCGCTTGAGAGTGTGGCGGCGCTCCCACTGAGGGTTCGGATCCCACATACAGACCGGTTCCCGCTCACTGGCTGAGCGAGGTGCGGGCGTAACACCAAGGGTTGCGATCCCGTTGCTGGTCCCGGTCCAGTACAGGCGCGACACTGAGGGTTGCGATCCGTTGCCGGACACGAAAAAAGACAAAAAAAAAGTAAAAAGAGAGAACAGCTTGATCAAAGGCATAAGGGTATGGACACAGAAGCTGATCTCTCAAAACAGCCAGTAGTAACTTGTTGTGGCTAGAGCCTTGGAGGTGAGGAGAGGGCAGTGCCTGAAGACGAGGCTGGCAGGTTCCTAACTGTGGCAGGCCTTGACACCATGCCTGTGAATTTTTAACTTGTTTCATAACCCTGAGGTTTTTAATCACAGAGGTGCACAATGAGATATGTGTTTAAAAGCTAACTTTGGTGATAGAATGTAGGAAAGACTAGAGAACAAAGAGGCAGAGGATGGAAGGCTAGTTGGAGAAACTTTTTCTGGAAACACTGACTCACTAGCTGACTCTGGATTTTTGGCAGTTAAGCTTTCATACCCCTCCAAGTGCTCTAGAAGCACATGAATGAAATGGGTCCAGAGGCCTCAGGAGGGCACCTTCCTACCCCTGCTGATGCCCCAGCTTTCTCCTGAGCTTTTCTAGGACATTAAAGCCTGGCACTGATATCAGGGAGCCTCTGATCTTTGCTGCTGAACTGTCTGAATGTCAAACTGTACTGACTACTAATTTTTTTTCTTAATGTCTTGCACTTCCCCTCAGAGATCAGTGCCCTGGGTTAGTGAACTAAACAGCAAAGGGCAGGTGTGGAAGAAGGAGAAAACAGTGGAGGTGATTTAAATTGTCATATCCTCGGGGCCGGCCCGGTGGCGCACTGGATAAGTGCGCCACTTGGGAAGCGTGGCGGCGCTCCCGCCCGAGGGTTCGGATCCCACGTACAGACCGGTTCCCGCTCACTGGCTGAGCGAGGTGCGGGTGCGACACCGAGGGTTGCGATCCCGTTGCTGGTCCCGGTCCGGTACGGGGGCAACACTGAGGGTTGCAATCCATTGCCGGACACGAAAAAAGACAAAAAAAAAAAAAAAAAAAAAAAATGTCATATCCTCTCATTCCATTTCCCATGGAATAGTCTAATGGACATCCCCAGGAAAACGCACATGTACAAAAAATTTATCTACAATTTTGGGGAAATTCTTAAATCCTTTGAGGTCCATCCATAGAAATCAAATTAAAAACCTCTAAACATATTAATGAAATAATCCAGAGAAGAGACGAGGAATAGAAAGAAGCATTAGTCATAGAAAACAGTAGGAAAAGAAAGGAAGATGTGAAAGCTATTCATCAGAGCTTAGAGACTAAATGGAAATCTGAGAAGAAAGCGGAATTAAGGGTAAACTTAAGGTATCTAGCCTGGGCACATTGGTGAAATGATGATAACCTCAGAGATACCAAGAAAACAGCAAGAAGAAGAGAAGCCAGTTTGGAGAGTAGGGGAAATCACTGTTTTGTGTTTGGCTATAAGGCATTTGAGATTTAGGCAGTAATGCCCATTAAAAATCCAGGTTGAAATGTAAAAAAATCATATTAAGAAAGAAAGAGAGAGAGAGAGAGAGAGAAAAGAGAGAGAGAGAGAAAGAGAGAGAGAGAAAGAAAGAAAGAAAGAAAGAAAGAAAGAAAGAAAGAAAGAAAGAAAGAAAGAAAGAAAGAAAAGAAAGAAAGAAAGAATACAGGTTGAAAGCTCAGAAAAAATATTAGAACTACTGGTTCAATATTTTTGAATGTTTGCCGTGGGCATATGAAAAGCCACAAAAAGTTTTAAGTAGAGGAATGTGATAAGAGTGAGAAATACTGCAGATATAGAGGATGAGGCCACTAGATTTAAAAATCAGGAAGTGCATGCTGATCTGGGCCCCAGGGTCTTAAATCAGGGTCAGAGCATTTTGGGTGGAGGTGTATAAGCAGGTACAGAGATCACACTTTGAGGAACTCTTGTAACAAAGAAGAATTTAAGGAGATAGTTTGTAAGGACACCTCTCCTTCTGAGACTAGTTAAATAATGGGGAGAAGAGGAAAGAAGCTGAGGTTATGCCTATTGGATTCTGTTGACTATGTAAAGCAGGAGCTAGGTCACCTACAAAATGAGCAATGAGGAGAGAATAATGGGAAACACGGTAAAGGTTTGGAAAGAACACAGGGAATTAGAAAAATGTGTGGGGAAATGTGCATAAGCAGACCGATGCCATTATGTAAGTGAACTCGGCATAAGAGATTCAACTAATCGAGGGACTATCCTCTTTGTTGTAATTATATATGCAATTCAGTGTTAGGTATGGGGTAGATTTTTATTCAGTTCTATAAATATACTCATAAATTTCATCTAAGCTGGCATAAGGATCTTAACTTATTTTGGCTTTAACCTTTTTTTTCAAAACTCAATCTTAAAGATTAGCAACATGAGGTAAATAACCGGATTAAATTAATTTAATTTGAAGTTAACACATTTATAGTTCAATTCTATCATCAAATTTTCCCATCAAAAGTGTAAGGTAAAACTATCACACGACTGTTCTCAACATTTTTTCCTCCATTTTCCACAAAGTTTGAGGTGTTAGTCTTCATTTTTAAGTCATTCCCTTCCTTTCTCCTTCTTTTATAACTTATTCCTAGTTCTTTTGAACTAATGTGGGCTAACAGTATAATCAAATAGAGTTCCAAAGCACTACTTCTCTTAATTTCCTGTGTCCAAGTACTTATTGCCTATTTTACTAACTGCTCCTGTTAATCATCTTCTAAAATATACCTACTTTTTATCTGGATGAGGGATAAACATATTAACAATTCTTGGTTATAGTAATGGAAAGGAAGGTGGTAGTGAAAAGGCCATAATCCAAAATGGCCTAAAATAGACTTTTACATATGGTTTTGGAATTTAGTTTGCAAATTATATGAGGGTTCTTCAAAAAGCTCATGGAGGGGCCGGCCCAGTGGCGCACTGCTACAGTGCACCACTTGGGAGTGTGGCGGCGCTCCCGCCGAGGGTTCGGATCCCACATACAGACCGGTTCCCGCTCACTGGCTGAGCGAGGTGCGGGCGCAACACTGAG